CAAGGGCTGGTGTGGGGTGTCCCCTGGGCATTAATAGAGAAGGGGAGACAGAGCGAAGGAGACAGCGGGAGAGGAAGCCGGAGTGGGAGAGGGACAGACGGCGATGCCTTCACATGTGTTACAGCTTCTCATATGCCCTGTAAATCACATTGTCTGTAATTTCTCTTTGTCAGTAATTATTGAGCTCCACCTATTGCCACGGAGTCCCACCTTGGCCCCTTCTGCTGATGGCCATTTCCTTCACTGACCCTGAGCCCTTCCTCGTGGGCCTGGTGGTTGAGGTCAGCCTGGGACCTGTTCACCGGAATTGGCAGCCTTGGGGTTTCCCAGAATCCCGGGGACTGGTGGGCCTGGGGAAGACCTGGCTGTAGGTTGGGCTTCCGGAACTGCTGCAGCATGGGGCCTTCTCTCCCGGAATCCCTTTCCTATCTCAGCCCTAACAAACGAGGCCTGCCTTCCTCCAATCCCCCTAGAGGGATTCTTCAGTATTATTCAAAGTAGATTTCAGTCTCACTCCTGGGGCCTTAAGGGACACTCATGCCCGGCCTACATGATTTCAGGGACCATGGCGACTCCTTTCTTATGGTGACCACCATCCAAGAGTTGGCTGCGTTCCAGCACTTTGGTCCTCTCACTGTTTATTGTGCATGGGAGAGTAGAGGTGCAGGCTGATGTGTCTAGCTGGATAAGTCACTTTACATTCCCGGGCCTCAGTTTTATCATCCGTGTAATGGGATGTTGTCTCAGATGCCCTCTGAGATCTTCTGGCTCTAATGAATGGTCTGAGATTCCAGGGCCTATCCTAGCTGAACAGAGGACTCAGAGGCCCTGGTCTCACCCCGTAAACCCCCAGGTTGGGGAGAAGGACTGCACTGTGCAGGACAGTGGGGAGAACTCTGGGCCAGTGGAGTACCTTCCTTCATGGACTTGAATTTTTTTTTGTTGTTGTTGTTACAGGGTCTCACTATGTAGTTGAGACTGACCTGGAACTCATTATGTAGCCCAGGCTGGTCTCGAACTCACAGCGACCCTCCTGCCTCAGCCTTCCGAGTGCTGGGATTACAGGCGTGTGCCACCACGCCCCGCCATGGGCTTGAATTTGAGGACAGCCTGGCTGGAAGCAGTGAGGCAGCTTCCCCAGACTCCCGCCTCCCGGAGTGGTTGCCTCACCGGCTGTTACTTAACCCTTCTTACCACTTCCTGGGGTGGGGAAAGGAAGGGCAGATGGGCAGCCGCTGAGGCAACTGGTGCACCGAAGTTTGTTTTGTTCTTCGAAGACAAAGGCGAGGTCAGCCGGGCTGGGCCAACCTGGGCTGCAGCTGCCAGGCCCGGCTCAGTGCAGTTTCAGCTCCCTCTTCTCCCACCCCACTGCATTTCTTCGTGCTCTTTAAGGGGCTGCAGCAGAGAAGGCCGGGCCTGCGGGGCACACAGGCGGCGGGGACTCTGCTCTCGCCACGCTGTGCTTCCACAAGCTGTTCCGGGGAGGGAATGGTCCGGCCAGGAGGCTCAGAGTCACGGTCGCCTCTGTCCCGCCAAGCCCCAGGTGTGCCCGCAGTGCCGCTTCTATCCACAGTCGTGTCTGTCTGTCTGTCCATCTCTGCGGATCCGGAGCTCTGGAATACAGCAGCCCTTTTCATCTTTCAAATAATAGTAAAAAAATCTGTGATGGGGAAAAGAGAAGGTGCATAGAGTCCTTGACAAAAGGCAAGTTGCTGAATATTGCACTCAAGACAGCTTTGCTTTTCTTTTTATTGATACTAGGGATTGAACCCAAGGCTTCACATTGAACTATAGCCTCATCCCCACTTTTAAAAATTTTTATTTATTGGCCAGGGATTTAGCTCAGCGGTTCGGTGGCCTGCCTCGCAAGCGCAAGGACCCAAGTTCGATCCCCAGTACCACAAAAAAAAAAAAAAAAAAAATTTATTGAGACAGGCTCTCGTTATGTAGTGTAGGCTGGTTTTAAACTCACTATGTAGCTCAGGCTGGCTTCAAATTTGTGGGGATCTTCCTGCCTCCGTCTCCCCAGTGCTGAGATTACAGGTGTGTGCCTCCATGTCTTGCTCCCCAGTACTGGGGATTGAGCCCAGGGCCTTCGCAATGAGCTACATCCCCAGCTCTTTAAATTTTTCTTTCTTTCTTTCTTT